GAGCAAAACAAACTGCACAACTCAGGGTTCTAACATGGGGTAATAAATAAAGCCTCAAAACCTCTGGCTGTAAAAACCTGTGATAATTGTGGTGGTGGGAGAAACTCCCAGGCTCATGTTGGAGAGACCTACAGTGTCCTAGAACCCATCCACCTGGGAATCAGCACCAAAAGGCCAAATTTGCTTGTGGAAAGTAGAGAAAGTGACTGAAAGCTGACTGAAAGTTTGCCAAGAGCCAAGCAAGCAGCATTGTTCCCTTTCATAACCCTCTTCCACATATAGCGCCACAATGCAGCAATGTGGGTTGCTTCACCCTGGCAAATACCTAAGGCTCAGTAACTTAGAATGTAACAGGTGCACCAAGACAAGAAAATATAGCCAAATGAAAGAGCAGATAATACTCCAGAGAAAGAACTAAGCAATAAAGAGATAGCCAACCTATAGGATACAGAGTTCTAAGCATTAGTAATCAGGATACTGACAGAAATGGTTGGGTATGGTTGTAAAATAGAGGAAAAAGTGAAGGCTATGCAAAGTGAAGTAAAGAAAAATATACAGGGGACCACAGCATGGATGGGACTGGAGAGCATTATGCTAAGTGAAATAAGCCATCAGTGAAAGACAGATACCATATAATCTCACCTATAAGTGGAACCTAATCAACAAAACAAACAAGCAAGCAAAATATAAACAGAGACATTAAAATTAAGAACAAACAGACAGTAACCAGAGGGGAGGTGGGAGGGGATAATGGGAGTGGAAATGAGGAATGGTTTTCAGGAACATCTATAAAGGACACATGGACAAAACCAAAGGGGGGGGTAGGATCGAGGGTGGGAGCTGGGGATGGCTGGGGTGGGGTGAGTGGTAGGGGGCAAATGGAGACAACTGTACTTGAACAACAATAAAAAAAATAAGTAAAATTAAAAAATGAAAGAAAAATATACAGGGAACCTACAGTGAAGGGAAAGAAACTGGTAAATCAATTATTTGGAGCAGAAGGAGGAAGTAAACACTCAAGCAGATCAGAAAGACAAAACATTACAAAAAAAATGAGAACTTCCCCAATCTGGCAAAGGAAATAGACTTCCAGGAAATCCAGGAAGCTCAGAGTCCCAAAGAAGTTGGACCCAAGGAGGAACACCCAAGACACATCATAATTAAATTACCCAAGATCAAAGATAAGGAGAAAATCTTAAAAGCAGCAAGAGAAAAGGAGACAGTTACATACAAAGGAGTTCCCATAACACTATTAGCTGTTTTCTCAAAGGAAACCTTGCAGGCAAGAAGGGGCTGGAAAGAAGGATTCAAAGTCATGAAAGGCAGGGACCTACATACAAGATGACTCTATCCAGCAAAGCTATCATTTAAAATGGAAGGGCAGGGACTTCCACCAAGATGGAGGCGTAGGTGGAAACACTTTGCTTCCTCGCACAACCAAATCTAAAAACAACAAAGTTTTAATAACAATAAATGCAATCAAACTGCAGAAAAGGGAACAATACGGAGTCAGAAAACAACGACCGCTCAGCTAAACCAGTGAGAGGGGCGAAGCCAGCAGTGGAGCAGGGAGTGGGTTGGGCAAAAAAGATCCCCCTACCCAGGTGGTGCACAGGCAGCTGAGGGCTCGGATCCCAGGTGCAGGGTAGCTACGGGTGGACCCAGGGAAGGTGCGGCATGGCTGTCTGTCTGTGGTCGTGCATTTGCATGCAGATAAACCAATGAAGAGATGAGCATTAAGACAGATTGAGCAGGCCCCAGCGCAGGGCAGCAGACTCACACATTTGCGCTCAGATAAATAGGCAGGGCGAGCAGTGAGGCGGACTGGGTGAGTGGAGAGGATCGCCATTGCTCCCTCTCTGACCTTGCCCCAACATATAGCTTCACAAACCAGCAACCTGGGTGGCCCCGCCCTGGTGAACTAAGGTGCCTCTCCTCATATGTAACAGGAGCAAACAGATAAAAAAAATGGCTCAAGACAACTCAGAGCCCCAGAGCCAATAAATCTAAGCAATGAAGAAATAGCACAGTTCAAAATACTGGTGATCAGGATGCTCACAGAACTGGTTGATTTTAGTCACTAAATAGAAGAATATATGAAGGCTAAACTAATTGAAATGAATGGAAATGCACAGGAAACCAAAAGTAATGGAAAGGAAACTGGGACTCAAATCAAGGGAGCAGACCATAAGGAAGGAAAAAATAACCAAATAGAAAAGAATGAAGAAACAAGAATTCAAAAAAATGAGGAGAGGCTTAGGAACCTCCAGGACATCTTTAAAGGCTCCAACATCCGAATTATAGGAGTACCAGAAGGGGGAGAGGAACAGTCATGAGTGGAAACCTTATTTGAACAAATAATAAAAGAGAACTTCCCCAATCTGGCAAAGGAAATAGACTTCCAGGAAATCCAGGAAGCTCAGAGAGTCCCAAAGAAGTTGGACCCAAGAAGGAACACACCAAGGCACATCATAATTACATTAACCAAGATTAAAATGAAGAGAATCCTAGAAGCAGCAAGAGAGAAGGGGACAGTCACCTACAAAGGAGTTCCCATCAGACTGTCAGCAGATTTATCAAAAGAGACCTTACAGGCAAGAAGGAGCTGGAAAGAAGTATTCCAAGTCATGAAAACCAAAGACCTACAACCAAGATTGCTCTATCCAGCAAAGCTTTCATTAAGAATGGAAGAACAGATAAAGTGCTTCTCAGATAAGACCAAATTCAAGGAGTTCATCATCACCAAGCCCTTATTATATGAAATGTTAAAGGGACTTACCTAAGAAAAAGAAGATAAAAAAGATGAACAGTGAAAGGACAGCAAACTCACAGTTATTAACAACCACACCTAAAACAAAAGCAAATTAAGAGGACAGCTAGATCAGGAGCAGAACCATAGAAATGAAGATCACATGGAGGGTTAGCAACAGGGGAGTGGGAGAAGGAGAAGGGGGGAGAAGGTACAGAAAATAAGTAGCATAGACAGCAGATAGAAAATAGGGGGAGGGCAAGAATAGTAGGGGAAATATAGAATCTAAAGAACCTGACTGGGATGGGAAAAATAGAAAAAAAAAACTGTACTTGAAAAATAACTAAATAAAATTAATTAAAAAAAAAGAACTTGAGACATGTGCTCATGAACTAAAGTGGGCAAGAATGTGGGTGGGAGGGGGTATACAGGGTAAAGGGGAATGAAGGGGGGGATAGAACAAATGTAATGGCATAATCAATAAAGTAAAAATAAATAAATAAATAAAATGGAAGGGCAGATAAAGTGCTTCCCAGATAAGATGGAGTTAAAGGAGTTCATCATCATCAAGGCTTATTATATGAAATGTTAAAGGGACTTATCTAAGAAAAAGAAAATGATAAAAAATACAAGCAGTATAATGACAACAAACTCACAACTATCAAAAACTGAACTTAAAAACCAAAACAAACTAAGAAAACAACTAGAACAGGAACACAAACACAGAAATGGAGATCACACGAAGGGTTAGCAGCAGGAAGGAGGAGAGGGGAGAATGGGGGAAAAGGAACAAGGAAAAAGAAGCATAAATGGTAAGTACGAAATAGACTAGGGAAGGTTAAGAATAGTATAGGAAATGGAGAAGGCAAAGAATTTATATGTGTGACCCATGGATATGAACCAAGGAGTGGCGGAATGCTAATGGGAGGGGGCATGCAGGATGGAGAGGGATGGGGGAGGGAATGGGACAATTGTAATAGCATAATTGATCATATATTTTTTTAAAAAGAAAACAAACCCTCATATGCTGTCTATAAGTTACTTCAGATAGAAAGACACAAACAGACTAAAGTGAAGGAATGGAAAAAGACATTTCATGAAAATGGAATTTTTTTTAAAGCTGGGATAACAATACTTTTACAAGACAAAATAGACTTTGAAACAAAGCCTATAACAATAGTCACAGAAGGACCCAACATTACACTTCTCGGTATTTATCTGAAGAAACCCAAAATACTAAATGGAAAAGTCATATGCATCCATATGTTCATTACAGTATTATTTACAATAGCCAAGATAGGGAAGCAACCTAAATGTCCATCAATAGGTGAATGGATAAAGAAGCAGTGCCTATGTATAATGGAATATGACTCAGCCATTAAAAAAAATGAAATCTTGCCATCTATAACAACATCAATGGCCATAGAGGGTATTGTGCAGAGTGAAATAAATTAGACAAAGACAAGTACCACATAATTTCAATTATATGTGGAATCTGAAAAATAAAATAAACAAGCAGAACAGAAACGAACTCATAGATACAGAGAACAATTTTGACAGTTGCCAGATGGGAGGGGAGTTGAGGGAATAGGTAAAAAAAGGTGAAGAGATTAAGAAGTACAGGTTGGTAGCTGCAGAATAGTCATGGGAATGTACAGCACACCATAGGGAATATAGTTGATAATACTGTAAAAACTATGTATAGTGTCAAATGGGTACTAGATTTATCAGGTGATCACTTTGTAAGATATAACTGTTTAATCACTATGTTGTACAACTGAAACTAATATAATATTATAAGTCAACTGTATTGAAAAATAAAAAATTATTAACCATGGAAAAAATTAATTAATGAAAATCAATTCCCCAAATGCAAAATGACATGAGGATTTAGAATTGGAAGCATCTCCCCCACCTCTGCTATACCCCAACCCTTGTTACATTTTTACCTACAGTGCCTGGTAATAGAAGAAAATGGTGATAAATAATGCAAAAAGTGAGAGACCTTGTAGTAGCATGGGAGAAAGGAGAAAGAAAGGCAAGGGAAAGGAGCCAAGCATGGGAGGATGGGATACATGCCCAGAGTTTAAGAATATTCTAATTGGGTGTTCAGAAGTTAGGAATTTGAAAGCCTGGTGGTTGTTGTAATTACACATTCATCTTTGCTATTAAAGCCAAATATGTCATAGCAAGAAAAATTGTGACCTAGGTGTGTTTTCCCTGTAGATATCAAGATGAGTGGGGATGTAGCAGATTCCACAGATGTTCGTAGTGCTCTCAGCCAAGTGGAGACAGGTAAGGGTCTTCTCTTCTGGGGAAGGGTAAATAAAAACAGCTGGTGGGAAAGAACTGTTAAAAACCTTCAAGCCATGTGGTATCTCTTCTGTGGTCTTTTAGCCAATCAGATCCAAAAGCTGGGGCCTAGGAAATGACGGACTTCTCTGAGACATGGGATATGGCACTGCAGCCTTTGAACAGTACATACTGGTCTACAGTGGAACAAAACCTCTGAAGCTAGGCTAGAAAAGGGCCACATTCTTAAAAACAAAACAGAACAATTAGGGAGAAGTTTCACTTTTTGATGCACAATTCCAACACCCCTAAAAGTGGCAGGCTGTGCTCCCAACTGCTACTGACTGACGGAAGGCAGAACTTGTCTAGTAGATGGGAAATACAGCCTTTTAACCCCAGATTTCTCAATAGTCCTAATCATGGAAATAACCAAAGATACCATGCACATGTGGATGGTAAATAAACTTGGTGGCTGGAGATGACTTTACTTTATGAAGAAGAAAAAGAAGACAGGAAAGAATTGAGAAGAAAGTTTCATACCTGTCTGCTTTTAACTTTATAGTCCAACCCTTGGTTTGAAAACTCTATATAATTAAAAATAACTCAGAGAGAGAGATGAGTATAAATTGTAACACCACCAAATACCTTTAAAAGCATCCCAATAAGGCTTCAATTAGTCTTTCATCTGGATCATGGGAGATGTAAAAATTAGAAGTGGAAGAAAATCAGAGTCCTTCAGAGCTAAAATCTTTTTATAGGTCTTCAGGTACAGCCTAGTTTTACTCTTAAAACTAAAAAACTTGGGATAAGGTACAAAAATAATTGGGGTCTTGGGGAGTGGGGCATCTGCAAGATGCATTTACCATAAACTTTTCTGCCCCCATTTAATGTTAAAACAGTATCTATTTGCACAGGTAGAGCTACAGGCTTCATAATTTGCTTCATGTATACAGACTGCTGAACTAGGAGAATATGGGTCAGTTGTATTCATTTTGCTGTTGAATTATTATCAGAGTATATTTTCTTAAGATTCTGTGAAGTGGAACACCTGTTCTTCTTAGTTGAGAAGAAAATTCTCTCCAATCTCAAAAACCCCAGTCCAACTGGAGACTGATAGGCAGGCATAGTTTAGGCTCTGACACTGTTCTAGGAAAAAATTCAAGTGTAGAAGCTAGGATTCAGGAGAAGTTGGGTCACCCTTTACTGGTAGGCTGGAACCAACTATGTTCACTTGGACAGGTTATATTGCCCCAGATACATGGGGACATGGCTAAGAGAATATTAATGTGGGAATAAGACCACACTTAGCAGGCTGGAACTCATGCTCTGTTATTAGTTACATAACCAAGTTATGTTGGGGATAAGAAGGAGCCACACAGAACCCTGAAAGGTGAACCAGGAGAGGGAGGGAGTTCAAATCCTAGGTTGGGATTAGGAAGGTTAAGGTATTATTGACAGTCCCAGCAAGTTCTGACTTCCTATCTGGGACTGTGGGAACTATGTACAGATTAGGTTCTAAGGAGAAATAATCCAGATATAAACTGGAACTTTTGGAATTTGACTATCATCCCAGGGTTACTGCCAATTCAATATGTGACCTTAGACCAGCCACTTTGCCTCTTTAGAAGGCAGGAAGAGATGACCTTTGAAGATTGGATTTAGAATAAAAAACCTGGGATAAAAATCACAGCCCTGCTGCTTACTGGTTGCATGATCTGAAAAGTTAATTTAGCCTTGTCTCTTCTGAAAAGGGGAACAGTTTATGCACTTCTTTGGGAATGGGTTGAGAGTTAGCTGAGATTATGTTTAAAGGCCTTAGCACAGTGGCAGCTGTGATCATCATTACCTCTAATGGCATCATTAGGATTCTGTGATTCTGTAGTATACAGAATGATCATCACTGTTTAGTGCTTTGGGACTACAGGTAGCTGGGGTGCCCTTCCCCCCTTCATTCAGGCCAAGTGGGTCAGCCCCACAGGTTGATTTTTCTCCTTTCACTATTCAGTAAATGATTCTGTATGGCTCCTTAACTCCAAGGAGACGGTGAAGTCCATGTTGTCTGGAAGTTCTCCAATCCTAGTCTTTCACGTACAGGACTCAGCTCAGTGGTTGGTAGCATCCATACTTAGGTGATTGCCAAATCACGACATGTTTTTAAGGGCAAGAAAAAAGAGGTAGTAAATTAGAGTAACCAAACTTCCTGGAAAGTCATTCTTACTCATTTTTTTAAAGAGGAGAGCTTATTATGAGTCACAGTGGTTACCAACTTGGTTTTATGGCTTTCTTTGGATTTTTTAAAAGGCAGATTTCCCCTCCCAGCAGTGCATGAAATAAGGAGTTTGTGTCTGGGTTTAAAGGAACTATAAACAAAGATGACCTAAAAAGCCCCAGCTCCCTGAGAGCACCCTCTATATTACATAAAATCCCCAAAAGGCACAAGTTGAAGGGGAGCTGAGAAAGATGACTTTTCCTATCCACACTGGCCCAGACTGCACAAGAGAGCATTTTCAGATGTAGACACGGACCTCCTGGTTGATAGACACCTGGCAGGGCAGGTCTTTTTTTCCTTTCTTTCTGCTTATCCTTTAGTTAAAGCATAGTTGGAGGAAAAACTGCTCAAGGCCTCAGAGTATGACAGCACTAGGGACCAGAGAAAGCTCCCAATCCCCTGTCCAGTGCTCTTTCTACACCCCTCAGAGGACTGAAGCCAAGCTGTTTCTAGATATTTGTATTATCAGCTTTTCTGTCAATTTCTTTTACCTCCTACCTGTTGTTAGTTTTACTTTTTTTGTAGGCTGACAGCATTTTTTGTTGCTGTCAATTGAGTTGTTGATAAGGATATACCCAAACACACATTTCAAAATGTAATACCCCGGGTATGTAACTGACAACCCCCATATACCTATGCAGCTAACTGTATGACTTTTGACCACACTGGTCTCAGCATAGCCTCAAACTCAGAGTTGTACAAATCTGATAGGCTCAGGAGAAAGGAGGGAAAGAGCATTTTACATTCATGGAGCCTCCTTTCCATACCTGGGCACATATATATCTATCCAAAATTTTACATACATCATCTCATTTTTTATTCTTACAATTCCCATTTTTATCCATGAGAAAATTGTGGCTTAGGATGAGAAACTAATTTTCCCAGGGTCACACAGCTTTAAACCCCAGGCTCTGCCATGATCTCCCTTCAGACTATTGGGTAAGTGTTCTCTCACCTGGACCTTTATTTTTCTCCTTATAAAGAAGGGGTTTGTATAATCTCTAAGGACTGAATTTTAAAAGGTATGTACATGGTTCCACTTTTCCAAATTCTCTCCTATCAGTTTCCACACTCTATGTTTACAAGTAGCCTTTCTCAATGTCAAATTCTCCCTCTCCACCTTATCCTCCTCAGCCCCTCACATTTCCTTCTTTTCATCTTTATTCTCAGCATTCTCTCATCTGACAGCTCCATCTGCCTTGCTATGTTCTGTCTCTAGTCCTCTTCTCTGACCTGGCTGGTAGTCCTCTAGTCAACATTTGTAGAGCACATTTGGGTTATACCTTGGGCTCAGAAAGATGAAGAATCAATCTTGTACTCACAGGGCCTTTCTCTTAATGCAGAAATCCCTTGGCGGAGTGTATAATGGTATCAACTTGTATCTGGAGGAATACATTCAAACACAATGCATTTGGCCTTGACATCAATTCTGTGTGGGGAGATGTTGTATCCCACTTTGCAGATGAGGAAGTTGAGGATGGTGATGAGAAAGAATGTTAGCTGATTTCTCCAATATCACATATCTTGTAAATGACAAAATTAAACCTGGGTCTTTCTAGTGACTTCCTATTCAAAGATGGTGGTGGGAAGACTGGGGACCAACATGGGGAGCCAGACAAAGGATACAAGAGAGTGGCTACAGCAGGGGAGATGAAAAGATTATGGATGGTGGCACTGATGACTGGAGTTAGAGGGGAGCCAAATGCCTGGAAGGTGGGGTGGTATAGTTCAGGAGGCAAAGCCCTATCTGGGTCCAAAATATACTTGTTGGGGAAGAGAGGGAAAGGGCTGGGGTCATGTCACTCCCTTCTGAGGAGGGTGAGAATCTAACATCTGAGAGGACTTTCTCTTTCCCATCTCTTATCCTGAAACAGCCTCACCAATACACCAACTCCTGTCCCACCTTGCCACCCCATTTGACAAAGGATATGGGGTGGGTTTGCAAACCCAGATGACAATGGAGCAAATGCCTTGGCACCCTTGTCCTGCTCAGAGATCTGTCCTACTCTCTATAAGGAAAGCCCAGAGGAAGAAAAGAAGAGCTAGAAGTCAGGGAGAATGGGGCTTTGTCAGTTCCTCTTTCTGTTGCCCTTCTTCTTCGGCTTCCTTTGTCCTGTCTGTGTGGTAGAAGGACTAACACCTGTCCCACCCTTGGTGGTAGAAGGACCACCAAGGCAAGATAGCTGTTTGGGGAACCTGTGCAGGAAGTCTCTCCACTTAACTCTGGGAGCTTTCAACATGGTTTTAAGAAGGAATAAGCATAATTGTATAAGGGATCCCGGAAGGTTAGTGATTCTCATAAGGTCTCAAAAAAGAATGAGTATCGACCCAAGACTAGAAATTCCTTCTCAGTCATTGCATTCCCAGGGCCTCCTTGTCTCTACCTGTACTCAGTCCCCAGGACAAAAAGTTGAGGATAAAGAAAATATGTCTCATCATGACCCAAAGGCAAAGATTCAGGCAGAAACAGGCAGAAGGCTTTAGAGATGAGTTTCATTTTTCACTACAAATACTTAAATGAAACTATCCTTTCAAGGGCATGGAACACAGAAGAAATCTAGGAAGTACTTTTGGGTGAGGGAAGAGTTGAAGGGAAGTGCAGAAGAGTATCCTATTGACAGCCCTTTCTAAGTGAGGCACATGTGTACCTACCTACACATACACACGCACCCTCCAGTTTATGATTAAAAGACAGAGTGTGTGCTTTGTAAAGTGTACACCACATTACAGATAC